AAAAGAAGAAACTCTAAGTAGGATAAACTCTGAGATACATAACTAAGTGGAAAAAGTGTATCCTACCAGTTGGGTAAAAAAGAATACATCTGTATTGCTTATAGTCATAAAAATATCCACTAAAAATTCAAGAAATTAATCACATTGTCTCCAGGGAGAAGTGGGAGGCAGGAATACTTACTACATAACCTATATAGTGTCTTCTGTATTTTTAACATGTTAATGTTTTTTCAGAACTCCAAGTATTTATAAGATTAAAATTCATACTACTGTGTAACCCTGAACAAGTTGTGAAATCTTTGTGTGCTTCCTCACTGGCAAAAAAGGATTAGTATTAGTACCTCCATGTGTAGGGCTGCAAGAAACCAAGTTCTCTATTTCTAAATGTTAAGTTTCACTATTAGAATTAGACACTAGGAGTGTTGCTTAGTGGTAGTACTTTACCTAGCATTTCCCAATCTTTAGTGTCACAAAAACAAGTTAATTAAACTTATAACCTAAACATGAAAGCAAGAAACAGCCTGTGGGTTGGTCAGGGGTATCTAACAGTGATATTTAATATTTGAGGTAGTTTCTTCATTTTAAAGGTATTATTGTGCAGATCTTATGAAGGGAGTAAAGTTCCCTAAGTGCTAAGGATGTAATAGCACCAGACAGCACAGGAGAGGTAGCAAAAGACACTAACTTCTCTCAAACCCAGAGGCATTTATCACTCAGGTGTTTTTTTTCTGAGGGGGTCTTGCTGAACTGTCCTGGGGGGCGGGACTTAGTCTGCAACCCTCCTGTCCCATCCTCCCTAAACTCTGGGATTCCAAGCAGGAATACAGCACTGCATAGCTCACAAAATAACCAACAAAAAACCCTCTATATATTATCTCAAATTAGGTTGGCTAGTTTTGTATTTTTTAGTCTTGTGATCTAGTTCAGAGTGGCCTCCAACTATGAACCTCCTGCATCAATCAGCCTCTTAAGTGCTAGGATTATAGGCATGGGCCACCAGGGCTGCCAATGTAGTATTTTTACCATTGTTTTTCATAGGTTATTTGGTTTGCTTCTAAGTATATTAGCACTAGAAAATGACAAGACTAACAGAAGGCCCATTTGTTTTAGTTTGGTAGACATTTATTCCTTTAAACAACCTTTACACAAAATCAAACTGTTTGGGCCCTTTGTTCATTTCACTGAAAGCTCAAGTCTCATGGTCCTGTCTGTTAACAAGTATTTTCTGGAAATCAAATGACCCTTCTGAAGTCCCTATAGAAAGATCTGTACAGGGAAAACATCAATTATACTTCAAAGTTAGACGACCCCCTATTCTTGTCAGCAAACCTAGAACTTGAAAAAATTAAAGGGCAATTTCTTCCACTCAAATTTCACCTGGGAAATAGTACATGTCTACTAGAAGACACAACTGAATTGAAACGTGGTCTTCGTGGAATAGCAAACTTTTCATCAAAAGTATAGCAGTCTGACCAGGGACAAGGAAAGACAACAGATTAAAAACCACAAACCTGCAGTGATACCAACTGACTTGATGTTCTTCTGGGAGCAGATAATGGAGTTGACCCAAGTTAGTTTGCTGGGCTATATAAAACATACCTTTTAAACGGCCAATACTTTTCCCCCTATGTGGCTACAGGGTTCAAAGTATTCTAAGGTAGTCACTGAATGGCCTCTTGGAATACCAGCTTCCCACCCTTACATTATCACTAGTTCACAAAAAGGAAATTTATCCAGTACTTGTTCAGTACCCATCAGCTCCAAAACATTCCAGTGCAAACATTACTGCTGACTACAGTGCATCAAGTTCAGAATTACATAGAGCCAAATAAATGAACCAGGAGTTTGACACTTTATGTGAACTTACTCAGTACTATGGAGACCAGCAATTTGGTCTAAGCCAAGCTAAATTCATTTCATTTCCATCAGAAACCTCTTGCAACAGCTTTATTCTTTAGAGAACATGACACTTTTGAAAAATTTTTTTAGGAGCATCAGTTGTACAAGTGGGAACTCTGGATTAAATTTCGGGGGGAAGCTCTAGTTGAGTTCCCATCTTTTCTACATGATCATGACACAGGATTATATGATTTTAAGTTTGGATTTGCCAAACTCCAAAAACTCAGCCACTTCAAACTAGCAAAGCATAGCATTACCCCAATAAAGCTGTAGGTTTCATTACATGCACCAATCAGATCCACAGGGCTAGTTTTAGCACTTTTTTAAATAATTTTACACCAATTACACCACACAGCATGTTTTAAACACTGACATATAACTCCCTAATAAGATAAAGCAAAGGCTCATTAGAAACAAAGATGCACCATCATTTATAGTCTTCAAACATTATTGCACTTTAACTTTCATTTGACAAAGCATTCATGAAATAATCAGCAGACTACTTAACAAATAACGCCTTTAAGCAGATGGGACTGTCCTAAATTGTTTATTAGGTTATGAATTTTACAAACATTACTTGTATTAGCGGTAACGGTGGAGTTGGAGAGTATTGCGCCTTCTCCAAGCTGCACGGCGAGAACCACCAATAGTGTGGTGGAACTTGTGGCCCTTTCCAAGGCCACGACTCTTGCGGCCTGCAGATGTCAGCCCACGCATCTCCCTGTGCTTATGGACTGGTTTTGTGATCCACTGGGTATCAGGATTTCTTCTAATGGCCTTGTGGAATGGATCAATGAGGATAACCTCAAAGAATTTGTATGTGGAATCTTCACCAACCCAGTAAGAATTCAGAACTCTCAGAGCCCCACAGTGGCGTCCAGCTCGCTCCTACAACAAGGAAAAAAAAGCCCAAAGTCAGTCTCAAATACTGTGTACAGTAGCAAAGCAGAAACCTAAGTCAACACTAGACAAGACACCAAGGGTTTTCACTAACTCAACAAATTAAGTAAGGACCTCCCCCCAGGGGCTGACACAACATGAGATAAAAACACACTTGCTGATGAAGTGAACCCAAGGCCTCCTGAATACTGAAAAGCACTCTACCACTGTATCTACACCTGCAACCCTGTTTTTTTTTTTCTTTTTTTTTTAAATACAGCTGAGACAACAGCAAAAATTTCTTCAGGCTTTAGTACACATTTTAAATTCTGCAGGCACATCGGGTCACTTCCACATACTGCCTCTTCTTTGAAAAACAAACTTTTAGCTTGTGGAGTTAGGCTCTGGTTTGCTAACTAATCCATACAACAGAGCACAGGTTAATTTACTAACCCAGAAGGTAACCTGCAACTAAATGACCACTACGATCAGTAACAAAATAATGTAGCATCTACAAATCTGCTATGATCAAGTTATTGTCCTTTAAAAGCTTGGGTTCCACAAGTTTACCAATCATAAAACAAACACACACAAAAATAGATTAGTAACAAAGACTGATAGTTTTTGATAGCAACTACTCTTGCCAAGATCAGTTAAACTCGTGTCATACACAGTAAGGCTTCCACAGATGTGAAAAGTCACTTGAATCCTTCCTACCCATTACCCCTAATAAGTGATCAATACAACTGTTACTCAAGACTATTTACCTCAGCAACAGACTGAAGGCTTCGTGCAAACTTTAGCTGGTTAACACCATGATGGACAGGCTTGCCGTATGTCGCACCTTTAGGAACTGGGCGTTTGCGGCCACCACGGCGCACACGAATCCTGTATATGACATAACCTGCACACACAAAAACACATTCGAAACTTGCTTTTTAAAAAATTCCGGGTTTACAAAGGCAGGCAGACTATTTTGCACATTTGTAATCTACACACTTGCCACTTGAGAGGCCCTAAGTAGTTTCGGTGCACGCACTAGTATTAGCACTATCCTGCCAAAGCATTATGCCAAGGAAGACAATGGGGCGCCAATGCCTGAATTACCGTTTCTGGCCTTTCTTGACCAATGTACAGTAATTCAACCTAAACATCCATGCAGCGTGACTACGCACCTTGTTTGGCCTTGTAACCCAGTCTCCGCGCTTTATCCGGTCGGGTGGGGCGGGGAGCCCTGTGCAGCGCAGAGAGCTGGCGGTACTGCCAGCAGCGGACCCTCAGAAGAAAGCGCATCACATCGGACTGCTTCTTCCTCCACAGCTCCTGAATGTACTTGTATGCACCCATCTCGGCTTACCTTCGAGACAAGGATGGGTAAGAAAAACCAGCACCCGCTTCAAGTACAACGAGACTATACGTCCGTCCATCTTAGTTCTTACCTCTCGAAGAAAAACGCCTGGAATGAAAATGGCTCTGCAACTGCAGGGGACGGGAGCCCAACCCCCTTCGCGCCCACGGACAGCCGTCTCTGTAATCCTAGCACAGAGCAGCCAAAAGCGCTACGCACATTTTTGGTCCAGAGCTAGATCTGGACACCCAGAAGGCGAGTGGCCACAACCGGCGGCTCGTCTCCAAGGGCCCAGCTCGCAAGGCGATGTCGCCAACACCACGGGAAAAGATGGTGTTGCTGTCGCCGAGGGTCGACTCTCGAGAAAGACTGACTGACCCCACCCCACGAGCCACCACCCTTGCTTTCGGCTGCCAGAGGCCTAACCTCCCATGCCTCCGCCCCACGCCTCCTTAAGGCTCTGCGGCCCAGCGAGAATTCGCGCCGCCATCGCGTCTTCTCCCAGCCCGACCCTGGGGACGCCTCTCCACTTTCTCGCCACTCCGCATCCTAACTGGACTCTCGCCGCACAGGAGGCAGGAGGAGCCCCGAAGACGCAGGGTCTTCAAGTTCGGATGGCTGAGACAGAGAGTGATTAGCAGCGGATGAAGGAGCGAAGACACACAACCGAGCCTACCTGATGGCGGCCGCCAGATGGAAAGGAAGAAGCCGTCCTCCCACAATCCCTTTTGGGCTCCTCCCCCACTTCAGTGAGTCCTTTTCCGGTGGAACGCCGCAGCCGCCCAGAGCCTCATGGGATATGTAGTTCTGGCTTGGAGTCCAGGGAGCGGGATTCGGCCGGGATTGGGCAAAGCCTCTTGTTTCCCGCCCACTGCTCGTCACTGGATTCTAGCCTGAGAGGCGGGGGAGGCGGGAGTTTGAGCGAGGCGAGGTCTGGCCGGGAGCTGACCTGGAGCTGAGCGAGTCCTGAGGCCCGGAGGAGGCAGGTTGGGGGCGGGGCTCTAGAGCGGGTGGCTGCGGACCG